CTCGCTCTGGAGACCAGGCTGGCCTCGAACTCAGAGAGATCTGCCTGCTTTTTCCTCCCAAATGCTGGGATTAAAGGCATGCGCCACCAACACCTGGCTGATCACCCTCTTTTTAAAAAACTCTATAAGCTCACCTGTATGTGTCCTATATGGAGAACCCTTTATAATTCTGCTGTAGACCTATTTTTTACAGTGCCTCCTCCCTTGTGATCTCTGATCTGAGCCAGCCTGTTGCACATTATCTGCTTTCCCCTTGCCATCCCACATTCAGTGTCATTAGAATACCTTTATTTCTGCTTCACTGTTACTCAATTTTATAGCATTCCTGAACATACCATTCTAAGCACCGTAGTGAATGTACCATGCAAAGATAATTATAATAGTCAAGATTCTTGGAGCCAATGGCTCTAATTTAATCTACACAACACTGAACGGATTATATAAATGACTAAGTACTGATGACTTCAGTCCAACAGATAAGCACAAACTTATGTTTACAAAAAAAAAACTTGCCAGTGTCTTTATATCAAAATTAAGTCCTATTAAAGATTAGCATTTAACTTACACATACATATAGGAAAGAGTGGAAGACGTAACAGATGCTGGCAAGCATCAGTTACACATTCTAAAAGATGGAAAACATCAAGAGCCACTCAACTCAAGAGCCACTCAACTTTGAGAAGTAAAGGTGTCAAAAGGTGCGTGTTTCATTTAGAAAATGTGAAGCTGTGACACCGCCCCGAAGAACTGGCTTTCTCCCAGGGACCACTGATCTACTTTCATTTATCATGGGGAGCTGATCAGAAGTACTCGAGGGAGTTTCCCTGATAGTTCCCAGAAAAAATGACTCCCCATTGAGGATGGAGTGGTGCCAACATCCACAGCTGCAAGAGACTGTTTACTGGAGAAAAACTTGGCCTATTTAGTAATACTGGCCCAAGACCACACTTAAGTTATATACTTTAGTTTGTGTATACACAAATACACACATATATAAAGTAACATTTGAATATGAACATAGTTTCAAATGCTTTTTATAAACACTTAAAAAAGCAAAACCCCCACATTTATAGTGAATTTATGCTTATGAATCTTATTAGGAGGCTAAATCGAGGAAGTTGAGATAACTGTGAAACTCAAATTTGTACTACACTGAATGTACTTCCTGACTTAACTTCCAGACACCAGACAATTCACTTCTGTCTCCTTTAGAAGCCTGCCATATTGCTTCTTTGGACAGCTGTCTTGTCCGTGGAGTAGGAAAGGTGTGTCTAGCATAGTCCCTTACGACTACTTTAAGCCTTTTTGGAGACATTGCACTACGTCTATTGCCTGGATTGCTGATGTTGCTGAAAACCTGCTGCATTCAAAGAAATTACTAGAAGGTAGATACACATTTGGGTACCAATGTTCAGATTGAAAACTGTCTCGATTTATTCACTGGAAAAATGACTTTAAGGAAAACATAATTGCAGTCCCACTCAGTGGTTCCTATACTTGTGGCCTATCAGACACATTCCAGAGCTTTCAACTTAATGGAAAGCAGAAATCCAAGTGTAGACAATTGAATCTGCATGCTCCAGGTGATTCTATATACCAGATACTAGTGACTGAAAGCACGCAAAAATTACGGGTGTCGAACAGACCTCTAC